ATTTACAAAATAATTTACTTTTAATCTCACTTACTTTCGCTCCGTTCAATAGAAGTTTCTAAAATATCGCTAATATATTAGCAATACGATATTCAAACTCATCCTGGGATAATCAGATTCTTGTTAAAATCAGTTTGTGTTGTCCTTCATAAAACTGAGATTCCATTTTTAGTAATTTATCCAAAGCGGTATGTAAATTTTTATATACATATAACAAACAGTCATTTTTTCCTACTTTTTTCGAGGTCTTTTTGTAATGCTTCTCGTAAAAACTTCATATGTTCGTGAGAAAAGATGCTTTTGTTATCCAAATCGTACTCATTCTTTACACAAAACTGCAAAAGTTCATAAGTTTTTAAACCACGAAAACGTTTCCTCATGAACATATGAATTTCTTAGGAGAAGCAGTAAAAAAATATCGAAAAAATAGGAAAAAATGATTGTTTTGTACTTTGTGTTTTTTTTCTCCGCTCTTTAGTTTAAAATTCTACCGTACATATAAGTAAAAGAGCGAGAAAAACGTCATTAAATACGCTCGTTTTGTCAACTTAAAACCAAAACATACTGTGTAAAAAATTAAAAATTCAACTGTTTGATCAATTTTGTTGGACAGTGAAAGTCGTCCATTTCACTCTTCCTGGCCTAGCATATTGACTATATGCCATAAGCACTGTCTATTTTACCAGATAAACTACAAGAAATTTGCAACATTGTAGCGAAAATCCAAACTTTGCAGATGGTTTTGTTTCGGAGAAATACTATTCATAAGCCTATATGAGGGGTGTATGATCAATTTTTTTACACAATGTACAATGTGCTTACATTAAACAGTAGTCAAAATTTCATTACATGTTATAAGCTAATTTATGAAGGTTGTGTGTTTGATCTTAGCTTAGTGCTTATGCCGCTGTTTTCTCAAGGATAATAGACTTGTTCAGAAATACACTGCATTACACTAAGATTCTTCTCAATATAAGCAGTGTGAGTCGTACTTTCGATATCTGTACGAAGATAGAAAATTCTCTTGGTTATTCTCCATACGTAAGGACTCGGAGAGATAAGATATTGACTATACTACGTGCTAACATCGCTTTTGAATTCTAAAAATGTTTGGGTTCCCCTCACATGCAAAAATGACTAAAATGTCAAGTACAATTTAGATCTGATTATCGAGTTTAGAATTGTGTCTGAAACTTATTTGTACAAAAATCTACCACAATAGATTACCATCGAGAGTTCTATTTTAATTGACACGAAATCATTTTTCAAGTTCATTTAAAACTGTATAATATTCACTCTGAAGTATGCACTAATACTTGTGATGGTGCTGTCGAGTCCTTAAATGAATCCTCTAGGATTGCAGGTACTTCGTTTCCATGTAATAATCTAACTTAAAAATTCTATAATAACTGCGTCTTAATTAAATCTCTGAATTGCAAAGGTCTTGACACAAACAATATGAACTCGAATTAAAAACAGACAGGACACACAATATATGAAAGAATGAATAGTGTAATTCGACCAATGAATCCGGTATGTAATAGACTTATAGAATTAATAGGATTTCAGTTTTTGAGACAATATACCAATAAACCGAAAATGCAGTGAACTCTCCGATTCCAGATACTTTAGTAACATAGCCAGGGATTTCAGATGCAAAGTGAATTCTGATTAGATTCAGAGAAGATGCCTAGTTAGTGATTTGATTTACCTGCACACTATTTGTAGTTGTTTGCCTTAAATAACGTTGCTCAATCAAAGATGAATGAAATATTTTCTTATATATTTAATTAACTATTTCTAAAAACTCTAATCGATAAACAGTTGCTGATAGTGTATTAATAAAGAACCCAATAATATAATTGACTGACATAGGTCATTAGTGAAAATATTTTAAATAAAAATATAGTTACAATTATTTGTGAAAAAAATGATGTACAAACCGATATAACAACTACTGGTCATAATAATAGAATATAAACTAATGTTTGATATGTCATAAGTCTATCAATTCTCGATTACGTTGGCGATGTAAATTGTAATTATTTGTTCAATGAACTTGATGCCGTTGTGATCGAATGTTTTTTAATGTTAATAAACTAAATAGAATTAATAAGAACGGTGGTAGAATTGTGGCAAAAATTGTGTATTAAACAAAATTGACTTATTGTACTATTGAAATAATCACAACTTAAATACTGATTAATTAATCGTTGAATATCGAACTAAATTGGTACATAAACATAAGGAATGAAACAACTAGCAATTATTAGTGAAATTGTGTATTTGGTTATTTTAATTTGACTTAATTGTCGAATTTTTGACTTGTGTGAACTTGATAGATAACGATCAAAACATGATCATATCAAGAATGACGTGGATAGTTGGCATAAAACATATAATGAATAATAGTAGAACTTACAAAAACTTAATGAATAAACAACTAATTCAATATTGAAATTTTCCATTAAATACCGAACTGGTAATATTGACCATAAATAAAAATATTGATTGTACCAAAAAGCATATCGAACATGAATATGATCTTAATATTTTGGTCTGAAATATTAAAATATTGAACATCTTACCAAATGCACCACAAACAATAAATAATAAAATTAGATAACAGTACAGTTGAACACTGATATATAATAAATCAACGAAAGCTATGTCGATGAGGTCAATCTTGTCCTATTGAAACGAAACTATATGCCGCTCACTTTACCTTTGATTTTTTCGGTGAGACTAACGTTGAGAATTCTAATTTCGAGGAGAGCTCTTCTCATTTTGTTTGCTAGTATGTTACACTTAAGTTTGAGGATAATATATAGAATCAAAAGACAAATTATCTTAGGTAGACGAAACACGCTTTGTTTTTAGGAGAGTTAAGAAATAATAGAAACAGAAAGTTTATTTAAACCTTTCTCAATCCCAACTTCTCGATAAAAGCTTACGAAAGACAAAAGAGCAAAAAGTGCCTAGTGGCACTCTATAAATCGTTTAGAAACATGTGTTAGTGTCACGCTTTAACAATTTTACTAGTTCATCTGTCATGTGTTTAAAATGTAGAGCACATGTGACTGGATCTGAGCCAATTAACCTTGACATTTCTGACCAATTTATATTATCAATCTCTTCGTCACTATATTCATGTTTATCCAGTACTTTTCCTAAAATATAGCATGTGATTAAAAATATTAAATGTATTATACTAGACATTTTTTTGTGCCGCTGCATACCTAAAATGCGTATCAAAAAACGCCATTTTGTTTCACCAGCACTGAAAGTCATAAATAAATGAGGTACATCTATTTGTCGTAGCATTGCGAAACAATCACGTTTAGCTTTCTCCCAGTATGTCTTTAACTCCTGCACATGTCTTTAAAAATACGATAATCACGGTCTAAATTTGATAACTCATCAAACTCCTCTTGAATCATTTCCGTGCTAGTCACGTAACCTGAGTTCCCCAATTTCTTCTTCCGTAGTGCCACATTAGATTTACCTTAAAATGTAAAAAACATATAGTTCAAACATGAAAATAACTGTAAATTAGATTTTTCATCACCAGCAATCTCTAACAGCTGTGATTTTCGTAATTTAAAAAAAATATTCGTTATGGCCATAGCTGCACGTCTATCACTGCGACGTAGTTCAGATTTGCATATTTTTGAATACGTAAGTTTCGATGTATGAGAAGCATTAGAGGGTCCAGATTGACCGCAAAAAATAAGAGGGAAAGCTAGCTCCTCTGCGTGTTCATCCATAAATAAGCTTAAAGGGTGCTCGCCTTCACCAGGCGCAAAGTTTAAAACAGCATCGTCAACAGTAATATTATTCAGCATTATAACCGTATTGTATTGTCCTAAAAAAGGAGTGGTAAAAATAGGTTACAAAATGAATCCAGGTTTCGCACGGAAAAATTAAAGTAAAAAATGAAAGATTACCTTCATACGATGTATTTTCATTCTTAACGTTATCATCTTGATTTCAATCAGTTTCCGATTCTTCGGTGTCATCCACTTCTGAACCATCTATAGAGTTACTTCCATCAGAATCACCATCCTGATGCTGCTCAGAAAACTTCATTCGAATCCCGGTCTGGATTAATACCCGTAATACCATGATCCTTGTATAATGTTTGAGAAGTTAAATATTGAGCAACTGATATAGTTGGTGCAGGACGTAAATTCGCATGAAATACATGGTGTCGAAAGGTTATTTTTCGTTTCAATTTAACAGAAATAGTTTGCGTTTGCGAACACTTTCTCGGCAGTTCATTAGCAGTTTGTACAGTCTCTGCTGAAACATTCACCAGTAGATATATTATGCCACAATATCATTATGGCATCAAAGAATTATATTATATATGTTTTACTGCAGTGTACAATTTTGCAAAATAAAACTTATACTACATTGTTGTTCACTTAAAATCGCCATGAATCTGCTCACATTATAACCGAATAACAGTTTATTTTATTATGTACAGTAGTATTAATAAAGACAAGTTTAAAACTGTACCCTTTAGCGTATGCAACACACTTTATTCGTGACTCACATACCATAACGCACATTGTCTATCGAGAATCGCTTAATTATTGTTAGTGCGCCTATGACTCAGTTTATATAAGTATGCTGCAAAATAGTAATATTTAAGATATAATTCCCGAACTATCGCTAACTGCTTTTAAATTTTACTAAAAAGCTTAACCTGGCCTCGAGCTATAGCTAAAACTATAGCTACGATACAAGGTAATAATAAAAATACAAAACGGTTTTCAAACTCGATGAAAAAATTACCGTACAATACAATTATTATTCATTTGGTCAAACAAAACAAGCTCGCTATACAAATGGTGAGTACAATAAAAACAATGAGTTATATCAATAAAAATGATCATCAGACAAGTCCAGAAACATATAGACAACGTAAAAAAAGTCAATACGTCACATAATTTCTGACAGAATACAAAAAGATCGGTTATATCTAAAAATATGGACTAGTCGACCGGCGATATAATGAAGTTAAATGTTAATTGTTCAATATTTAGTACATCATCTACAATTGCATGATAAAATCTTGTTGAAAATGCTGCATTGGTTAAATTCAATGGCAACGTAAACTCGTATGATCCATATCCATCACATACTCTCTCTACTTGAGGTAAATCGAGACCAGTATAAAAGATCACCACTGCTTTGGATTTTCTTTCTTTCAACTGACGATTTGTTTGTTTACATGTAAATTGAAAATGAAGACGATTTTTAGAATAAATTTTAACAAAACATTGAAAATTTAAACCATTATGAACAAATTTATAAGATGAATTGTCAGATAACCATTGATTATCGGTTTGAATATCGCCGTGTAGAATAAATTGTTGATTGTTATCGTTATAACACGAATAATTTTGATAATAATAATCTAAACTCAGAAAAATATAATGATAGTGCTTGTCAAATATAATTCATGTATCAGTTATATAGTAGCTTACTGATAGTTTTCAGAAATAAACTATTCATTAATTCACGTTTATCGTCTTGATTTCTTAGTAGATATAATTTTTGTGCTAAAAATCCTTGTTTCCACTTCGTGTCAATCTGTGATTTTTCGATGGCGAATAAAACGTGTTCTTGCTCTTTAGAGACTAGTGAAGGAATTTGCTTTTGAACTACTTTTAATACGGAGATAAAATAATCTTCATCCATGCATAAAAACATCATACCATTTAATAAATCTTCCAAATTATCAACATTAATAAAACTGAGCTCGTTATTGTTATGCAATAGTTTAATACAAAACAAAAGCGTCGTCTCTGTGAATTGAAATTTACAATTGTATTCATTGATCTCATTAACATTTGATGGTTGATGATAATTAAAATAACTTTTGAAATAATCACATAACATTAATGATGAACGATCACATAAAACAGAGGACGACAGCGGTGATAAATGACATACGTAGTTTAATTTACAATCTGATAAATTAACATTTTTCCGTGTTGATACTTCCATTTTCACTTTGCAACCTGATTGAAATGAGAGATTATATGACATGTTTTCAATCCAATTTTATCTTCTTTTCGACACTGAGCCAACTCTAAAAGTGCCCCATGATCTATAAAAGTGCTCCATGATAATTACATGAGCTAACGCGATAAGTTTTGGGTACCTTGACAGAAATGGCCGAATACACGAAGTTCTGAGTATAAATATTTTCTGAAAAGTACTCTAGTTTACAAATTTTCAAAAGAAATCGGTGATTCCGAAAAATCGATTTTTTGACACGTAAATAGTAAAAATGTCACCAGGTTTTTGGAAGGTACTCGAATACTTTTTGGAATACTCGTTAAAAAAAGTCTCAGAGTACGAGTATGAGTGCGAGTATCAGGAATTTTGTACTCGAGTATACTCGTACTTTGAACGAGTGGCCATTAGTTGATGCGGCTGTTGTGTTTTAGGATAGCATGGGTTTGTGCTGTTTTTCGTCACGTATTTGAAAGGTACTGTGGTCGAGAACAGCGCGCCGCTGATAAGTGGTGCGTTAAACTTGAGCTAGCTACATGCGCCTCGGATCACCCGTCCGATATTATATTCATTGCGGTGAGCTGTACAATAGTTCCTCCGAGTATCTTTTGTGACTTCGCGGAAAAATTATCGTAGTTAGGTGTATGTCAGGAATATAAAAGCAATTGGGTGAAAACTTTGTGTTTGGTTAGTCGCATGACCTGAACTGCATTTGACGATTAGTTCTTGAATGTGTGACCTTTCAGAAGTGTTAACTGTATGTGATCAGAACTGAAGGTTAAACTGGGAGCACTATACTCCAGAGGTGCTAGTGCCAATCCCATAGGGCGAGTTTTTGAAAGATGATATGGAATGGCATGATATCAAAATATCATCGGCTCGAATAACGTATCCCATTAGCACCCTGTTTTACACCCGTGAACGTGTTTCTTTGTAACGGCTAATAACGAATCTATTGTAAGTGTTCGATTACTTACTTGAACTCGACTTAAATGGATTGCCAGACTTTTCCAGGAAACAGACGAAATAAACGACTGGATATGCCCTTTTACAAAATGCTCTAAATATCGTTTCTTCCCTTTTTATCAGAATATTGAACATACGACAATCATCGGCCTAGACAAATTGGAATATATAAAGGTCGAAATAGAAAAGTTTTTTTTTTTCTCATTGTACAGATAACCATCCATGCAAAAACAGTATGAAAAAGTTATTATAGACGACGATATCAGGCGAAACAAGGACCATATAATTGAGTAATCTTTAGAATTTAAATTTGCACGAGCAGAATCCTGAAATATCTGTCAAGGACATATTCTCATAACGGATTCTGCAGCAAATACTTACAAAACTTTAGTCGTCATTTGAACAAAATGTGCTGGTTTGTTTGCCAAGACAAGAACGTTGATTGAAGTCATAAATAAAACTTTTGTTTGTTACAGAAGAAATTCGGGGTTTGTGAGTTATGCACCAAATTCCTTTCCTTATTAGCGATAATTTTTATCCTAACTGCATCTGACGGAGAGGTATACAGCATTTTTTGTCCTCATAGGGGGTTGTTCGTCGTATCAGATTGCACTGGATCTTACTCTCAAAACCTAATTCTTGCTAGCACACATGGTGTGTCCATAACTAAATTAAAAAGCTAAACTAAAGTTGAAAAATAGATTCAAACTCCTTTTTCGATTTTAAGGATATGCGTTAGAAGATCTTCTGGAAATCAGAGATCGTCACGTATACATTCTACATCCTCTCCGGAAAACTGATGCGTTCTCTTCAGGCCAAAATTCTTGAGCCAAAATACGGACCGGACCGGTCACTGGTGGGAATGAATCAACTTTTCTACCATCATTTTGAGCAGTTATCACTTTTCAAATTGTACCAGGTTGATTACATAATCCCAGAACTCGTCCTATGGGGTTTCTCTTCGGATCAGAAATCAACATTCTTCTCAATGTGCAATCATCGTCGTTTGCTATTCTAGTTCCATGCTTCGGAATATCGTGTAACCAGCGGTACCGTCCGGTATTTTGTCATTATGAACACAGCATAGGAGTTCGAAACTAATTTTCAACTTTCTTTTTTTTATTGTTGAGCAGTTGTAAGCGGCAGGGAGGCCTCCCAATTGAGAGAGAGTCTATATGGTCTAAAAGAAAAGTTTAATCTGAAGAAATCAAGTTCTCGAATTTTTCTGTGTTTCTTTTATATCTTGACTGTAATAAGAGATTTAGTTTTTAAACACAAGCTGAATAATTCGTTATTTAAGATGAGAATGGGATGTATTCAAATAATAATTTTTTCGTGTTTTTTTGTTATTACGCTTTTTATATTTTTATTTTCCGATTTGTTCGAAAACCTGTACTGTCCCTTTTCGGTATCTTCCCAGTTTGTAGGCTAATTGATTAAGAAAACAATATAAAGTCTTTTGTTCTGTAGGTCATCAGATATTGTTAATAAGAAAAGAATAAGATGATACAGCTGTCTATCACAAACCAGCACTGTCAAAATGCATTCCTATAAAACGTAAGTATAGAGCAGAGTAACTCTAATTAAGTTACTTATGACAAACCTGATGTATCCCTATCTTCTACTTCAGCTGTACAGAATTCTTCTTCGTACATTTGTGGTACTGGTGTTGATTCTGATTCACAACCTCTTCTCCTTTTTTCTTTAATTAACCTTTTATCGATTACATCACATGTATGAGTCAGGACAAAAATTAATTAGTCAACAAATCGGGACGATACCGAAAAACGACTCATTCCCAGTTTGTAAGTTAATTGACTTTTTATAGAATTTTTCATTTCTCATTTTGCAAGCCAATTAATTCAGAAAAACATATAAATTCTTTCGTTGTGTAGGTCATTAGATATTGTTAATAAAAGAAAGAATAATTCATAAGAATTGTTTATAGATATAATTCTATACAGAAAAAGTTTAAAAACGATATCTCTGACCGTTTTTTAATTACTAATTAATTCTCGTTAGCACTATTCAACATTCACTATTGTATTGAATACAATGGTGAATGTATAAAAATAGTTACCGTGCAGCATTTCTCTGTACCACCGTCTAATAAGTTACCGTCGGTTAACCGCGCGGTGTATCGACGGTATTTTAAAAAAAAATCGAGATGAGCCGTTTTTTGTGCGTTTATCAAAACAATAAAACAGTTTCGTTTCAAAATACCACACTTGTCATGTGATTGGATGATTGAAGTTCACGTGATTAGTGTCACGTCCCGTGATTAGTGTCACGTCCCGTGATCAGTGTCACGTGATCTTATTTGTTGTTATACTTCTTATCTATTTCACCTCAAATTCTTTATTTTTGGCGTCTATGTACATGCCTAACGAACACTTCTAAAAAACAAGGCTGTAGATTTTAGAGTATATTTTATTTTTTATTTTTGTGTCATAAGAAATACTTTTTTTATGTAAGATTTGGACAAAGCAAATAAACAATTAAAAATTAGAAAGCAGCTTTCGGGGGACCGGATCTTCATCTCAAGCCAGAAAAACACGACTTGTAAATTCCCAACCGGTTACAACTCTGATTTGTACTTAGAGAAATATTCGTTAACTGTCTCACTATAGTGTTTTTAGTACGTACCTGCCGATCAGTAACTGTAAGAACATTAAGATTTCAAACATAATCTTAATATTTCTCTTAAACTCATCAGATGATTTCCTTTAGCAAAATAACTAAAATTCATTCAATATTATGTCATGTAGTACGAAGTATAACAACAAATATTAGTTCGAATATAAAGCTAACGAAGAGCTATTTTCACCATGCATCATCGCTGGCGTTCTGTTATAAAACAGTTAGTCAAAGTTTCGATGAAATAGCAGTCCTGAACACGAATGTTTGTTATTCCAACGTTAGCTGACATATTCAATCTTCTATAACTTCGATAATTTTTTTATGTGCGCGAACAAAAGCGTTATACATGTAAAACATTCAACGATGAAGTGGATAGTAAATAAAAATCCAGTATATATGAAATAAGAACTAGAATATTGTTTAAATAAAGGTGAATGTAAAGGACTTGTGCTATAACCAACTGTAAAGTCAACGGATTCATTAGCCGCTTTAGGGAAATTAATACCGGAACTTAGCATTCAAAGGTAGGAAATTTAAATTCAAAAGTTGTACCATTGTTAAGACATACCATATTAACGGGAGAAACCAAGTCAATATCGAATTATATGCATTCATACAACGATTTATTAAATCGTGGCGGTAATCAAAAACTTGGAGAACTTTTAGAACGACAAAATTCGTTGGTTTCTGACATACCATTAGCTATATTTTATACAAGTGGTACAACAGATAAACCAGAAGCAGCGACATTAACAAATTTTCAAATGTTAAATAGCGTAGCAGTTGTCAATGAACATCTTGGAAAATATTTTACTCAATTATGTGTACCCATACCCACGTTTCATATATTTGCAGAAATAATTGGAACATTCCACATTGCTGTTGAAAATAAAAATTGTCTAGTATATCCGGCAATGTTACAAGATACACTGAAAACAATGAAATTCATTCAAAATGAAAAATGTACAGCACTAATTTGAACATCGATCATATGTTCGTGATATTCTAATCCATTTACATCGAAAGGAATATGATTTGTCATCATTAGAATATTGTCTGTTAGCTGCTAGTCCAATAACACAAGAATTTCTCGAACAAATAGAAAGAGAAATATGAATTAAACGTGTTTCGCAAAGTTAGATAAAAGATTCTATTTAATATAGCATAGTGAGTCAGAGAAATCTAAAATTTATTAGGTTATGGACTGACCGAATGTAGTGAAACTCTATCATTCGGTATGTGCGCAAGTGAAACTGATAAACGTGGTCTTTGTTCAATAGGACTACCAATGCAACGACTTGAAGTAAAAATAGTCAATGAGCAAGGCGAAATTGTCGATATCGATAAAAACGGTGAACTATGGTGTCGTGATTATTCAGTGCTGTCTGCTTATTGGAATGATGATGAAAAAACACGTGAAACAATTACATCTGCTTTCAAATGGCTAAAAACGAATGATGTAGTTCGAATGGATGAAGACAGATATTTGTACTTTTGTGGTAGAAAAAAAGAAATGAATATTCGGGGTGGCACGAAAATTTCATTTTAGAATATCCAAAAGTTGCTAAAAAAGTAGCTGTATTTGGTATACCAGATGAACGGTATGGGGAGGAAGTGTGTACTTGGATTAAACTAAAGCCAAACGAACAATTCAAAAATTTAAATTAGCTCAAAGCTGTTAGATGAGTTAAATAGAGAAAAATTTAACGAATAGTATTTCATCCACTTGTATTCATTTTTTGTATAGAGTAAATATCTTTGCTATTTCTTTAAACTGGATAAATAAATTTAGTGCTAAAAATAGTAAATCAAAACAGCGTTTTCGAGAAATTTAATCTTCGAAAAGTGCATACTCATTTACAAGTGACTTTTTTCCCTTAGTTTTTATTATTTTTTTTCCAATCAAAGGGTTTATTTAGCCGTTCCAAGTCACAATTTTTTCAATCGAAGCGACGTAAAAAGTGGATGAGATTTCAAAGATGTATACGAAGATGGAAATCCTAGAGAGTTGGTGTTGCAGGACGTTATTTAGACTCGTGTAGGAGTCAGATACAGACGCTTCGAAAAACTGGTCCGATCAAGCTCAAATTTTTATCAAAAAAAGCGCAAACCCCATATCAGGTTCGAAATTTTTTCCGAAAAATATGCTTTTCTTCTCGAAATACTCGAAAAATACTGAAAATCTTATGTAACAAGTCCCTTTTTTGTTTCCTACGTTGAAACTTGAAATCGACAAGGCATAAAAAATTTTCGAACCTGAGTCAGAGTCTGAAGTATTTGTGATAAAAAAGGGGACAAAACTTTACGAAACTGAAAATTTGAGGTTTTCTATGTCCTCAAAAAAAGACTTCAAAATTTCATAACTTTTTCAAAAAAAGGTCGTGGAATGCTGAGACTGGTCTCATTTTGTAGCCCAGACTTTCCTCTATGTTTGGCTATGTTCAACTCAAAATCGAAATTTTTTTCAAAAAAAGACTCGGGCTACCCTTAAAGACAAAAAATTATAAATCAAAACGTGACAGAAACCGTTTTCAATTTTTTTCCAAATTTCTACTTTTCACTTGGTCATATTTTGTAATAATATCATTATATATCCGTACCGATGACGCACACGACCTCTATGTGTGAACAGTTTCGTATCCATTAATTACTATCTTCGACCTTTTTTTTATCTGCTTGAAATAGCTGAATGATTCATCGACAGAGATGGGAAATGCAAATTTAAATAATTAGAAATAGATTAGAAGATAACTGATTGATGGGATACAAAATATTAGATGCTAGCGATCTAGACTAACTTTCTAGTAGCGTTCCTAACGATGAGTGTTCACAGAAAAAGCAAAACATATGGTAGTCTTGCGAACATCGTTGCTAATGTATCTACTGTATGCACATTTCCAAAAACCTTAACAAATTTGCAGAACACTCTTCCATTCGCAAAAGTGGAAAGTTATGTGGCAAACTTTGCTCAAGGACATGGGATTTCATTTCCTGTTTTTGTTTCTTTTTTATGATCTATTAGAATTATCAAGATATTCACAAAAGCAACGCGCTCTTTAGTGTAGAACCGTAAATATCTTGATAGTTCTAATAGATCATAAAAAGGAAAACGGTAAATGAAATCCCATTTCCTTCTTGTTTAAATTCGAAACTTTCAGCCAATGAATTTCTTTCCTTTAAAAACGAAAAAGCGCTCGAAATAAACATATTTTTTTCGATCCTCATACTAATCAACATGAGATAAGCATTGTGCGTCATTGATCATTTAGACTTCAATGGACACTTAAAAAGAATTCAGGTGAACTTGTTATTGGAAAAAAAGTGAAAATTCTCGCATCTTTCAGCGCCTACTCCCTAGCGTCATCAATCGTCATCCTTGACTGCTCACCTCTCCTTAAGTCAATGACGACAAATGTGAAAGGCGCGAAAGAGAAAAACTATTGATTTCCGAGAAAAAACCTACGTATAACATACTGAACAAGTAATTTCGAAAAATCTCGAGTCCTCTAATTAGATCTTAACCAAACGTTGATGATAGTCAGTCGGCCACTTATGTTAGCTTTTTTGATCAGCGCTATAACAAAGATTCAGTTTCTTTTCTTGAAGCGTCTTATGCGGTGTTTACGTTGATGATGGACTAACTGATGTACGGAATTCGTATTCGATTTTGTCTAAGAATTAGACAAATAGAAAGTTGTTACTGTGTCTCTATGTGATGATTTATAAGAAGAGCAAGGCCAATAAGATCAGTCATGATGGCGAAAGTAGTAGAGATGAGAAGAAAACAAAGTGAAAATTTCAGAAAGCAAAGTGGTCTTTTTCATTTTCCAGCAAAGTGAAATTCGCTTATACAAAGTGGTCTTCCACTTTGCTCTCACAGGGACCACCCATCGTTAGAAACGCTGGAGAGAATGCCAACCTACTTGACCGCTTGATATGAGAAAAATCGATTTTTTTTCCGTCATCACTACGGCGCTCATGCATAGATCTGAATAAACAGCTAGATTTTCAGATGTGTTGGACAAAAATGTACGTGAACCAGGACTAAAATAGAATGATTTCAGTATAGTTTACGAAGGTAAAATTTTATACTTTTTCCACGGTTTTCGTGTTTCTCCCGAACTATATTCCCCCAGAAGCTGTTTTTCTGTCACCAATAAAATTTTGCTTGAAAACGGTTCCTGTTTGACGAAGGTATGCACAAATCAAAATCAAAAACCTCATAGGCCATTTAGTGTGAAAAGCACAGTTTTGTATTTTGCTCGGGACCTTTTTACCTGAAAGAGAGCATCAAAAATGTTCATTTTTTGCCACGTTATAACTCCTTTCGTCCCCAGTCGTTTGAGACCAATTTCAACTTTTTTTCGATCCTTACAATTTCAGCACCCCGTTTTTAATCTTAGGGAACAAAAGTCTGAAAGCGTCTATAAGCCTAATTTTCATCAAAACTCATGCGGAAAAGTGTAAAGAAGCGGCCAGTCTCAGATTCTGAAAGCTAAAAGTGTTCACTATAATCTAGATGATAAGATTCAGTTGAAAGGGCAAAACATAGTCGAGAAAAAAACATTTTATTCGGCAGATGACACTCAAAACTAGTATTTTCAAGGTTATTTAATCCATATTTTGGGATCCTGTTGATAAAAAGTACCGATTTTCTCTCTGGTAGTGAGCGCATGTCAGAAGAGTAAAATAAAAAATAAAATTTTGATATTCGGTTACTGGAACTGTTGTTGTTTATTTAAGTATTGGAGTCAAACACTACAATGGAACTGTAAATAGTTCGTATACGTTATTCTGACCGAATATTTCGATTTTCTTTTGTTTTCTTACGGTTTATGCTCGACTTTGATTTTCATCTTGTTTTTATAAAGCAAATAGACAACCAAAAACTTTATCCTGTCATTGAACATAGTGCTTACAAGTTTGAATTGTACATGATCAAAAAGCCAAGTATACGCTACACACCTCAGATATGAATTTCTGTATGTTATATAATTTGATTGTCTCACTACATTTTGATTTTTTTTCATTTAGATTTCGACGTGTTACATACATGTAAAATTATTTGGCGGTCGATTACCGTCATGATTTAAAATACACTAATTCTCAACAAATTGTACTTATCAATGAATTTCAATTTCATCTGTTGCATTAGAAAAATCCTCATCTTTAAACTTTTTTAAGAAGGAGATGTATGATAATGAAGATTTAGCAAAATAACTTGTTATTGCATCTATAAGAATGTATGAATTCTTAATTGGTAGATGCTTATAAAAATCACTGTTTTTCACTCTTTAGTAACTCCCACTCATGACCAATTTTGACTAATTCCAACGCACTTTTCTTCAGACAGACTGAACAAAATTGAGTTTACCTTGTTTCAAAATGTGATCCGAATTGGGCGTTATTAAAGAGTGAAAAATAGTGATTTTTATAAGCATCTGTTTTGTAATGTATGCATTCCTACTTACATCTTTCTTCTAAGTGAGCTGAATAATATACGAATTGTTTATTTATGAAGTGTACCACTAATGATTTTCTTTACATCATGCAACAAATCCATTTTTTCTCTAGATCAAAAAAAATTGTTTTGTTTGATTTGTGAAGTAAACAATTTTTGACGCTATTAAAAGTACAGATGTCAGCCTAACTCGTTGTTTTCTTGTTTGTTTATTTACAATGAATAAACACAAAAATAGACCAGTGTATTAAACAAAAAAAAAATGAAATCATCTCTGGTGTTATTAATCCTTTGTTTTTTTGGTAAGAATTTCTATTTCATCAATATAGCACATTTTTTATGATAATCCTACTTCTAATATAAAAAAATGTTCGTCTAATATAGAAGAATACATTTATATTGTGATTTTGTTGCCTAATTTTAACTTTAACAAACAATATTAGCAGATGCTCGATATTTTTTTTAGCAAAATAATTTATCTCTGTTCCATGAAGCGGAAAAAAACAAAACGATGTAGAATAATTTTTTTTTATTTTTATTTATTGTAAATTAAGAATAAATAAACTGAAAACGTTAAAGTATTTGACCATATCATTATTTTTCATTGTTTTATTTTCGATATTAGCGTTATTAATAAATAAAATTATTCGATCATTTTTTCGTCTTTTCTTTTTTTTCTACAATCATAAGAGTAAAATATCCTTTATCCATAAATTGACTAGAACTAGAAAGAGTGAGAGAACACGTCTCAAAACGGATCTTTCATTTATTTTTGTCTCAAACAAAAAAAATAAATAAATAATAATAACAACAACATATATTGTGCTTTCTTACAATCTTATATAGTCTTTTAGAAAATTCTACTATTAATCAGACGATTAATAGAGTCAGAACTTTTTTTTTATTGTATTCTTATCAGCATGTTTTTTATCGTAAAATACTTCTTATCACAATTAAAGAAGTCTTTAACACTTGTTCTCTATAAGAGATAAATATGAAGTAATAATTTCCTGCATTAAAAAAATCGACTCAAATGTCTTGTATTATTAATTATTCAAAAACTCCCTCTTTCTTTTTTCGCAGTATCT